TTAGCAAAAGAGGAAAAACCTTCGTAAGTACCTCCCTGAATCCGGCCCCAGATTGTTAAGAGAGGCAAGGATAGGCTGGAAAAGATTAAGGTCATGAGGCCATAAAGCAAAAATGTCATCAACAATTTCTTTGATCCTAAACCTGCTTCCAACACTAGTAGCACTGTACTATGCCTTCCCTTCATATCTGAACTCAAAACTGGTGGCATCACCGCCAGCCAAGGAGTCATCACCAGCCATTGCGTCATCATCAGCCTTTGCGTCACCACCAGCAATGAAATCACCCCTAGCTATTGTGTCATCACCATTCATGGCATCACCACCAGCAATGGCGTCACCACCAGCAATAGCGTCACCACCAGCCATTGCGTCACCACCAGCCATGGCGTCACCACCAGCCATGGCGTCACCACCAGCCATGGCGTCACCTCCAGCCATGGGGTCACCACCAGCCATTACGTCACCACCAGCCATGGCGTCACCACCAGCCATTGCGTCACCACCAGCCACGGCGTCACCACCAGCCATGGCGTCACCACCAGCCATGGCGTCACCACCAGCCATGTCGTCACCACCAGCCATGGCGTCACCACCAGCCATGGCGTCACCTCCAGCCATGGCGTCACCACCAGCCATTCCGTCACCACCAGCCATGGCGTCACCACCAGCCATAGCGTCACCACCATTCATGGCGTCACCACCAGCAATGGCGTCACCACCAGCCATTGCGTCACCACCAGCCATGGAGTCAACACCAGCCAAGGAGTCCTCACAAGCCGTGGTGTCATCACCAGCCATTGCATCACCACCAGCCGGTGCGTCACCACCAGCCATGGCATCACCACCAGCCATGACGTCATCACCAGCCATGGCATGACCACCTGCCATGGAGTCATCACAAGCCATGGTGTCATCACTTTCCATGGCGTCATCACCATTAATGGCGTCTCCACCAGCCATTGTATCACCACCATTAATGGCGTCATCACCAGCCATTGCGTCACCTCCAGCCATGGCGTCACCACCAGCCATAGTGTCACCACCAGCTATGGCGTCACCACCAACCATGGTGTCACCACCAGCCATGGCGTCATCAGCAGCCATTGCGTCACCACCAGCCATGGTGTCACCACCAGCCATGGCGTCATCACCAGCCATTGCGTCACCACCAGCCATGGTGTCACCACCAGCCATGGCGTCACCACCAGCCATGGCGTCACCACCAGCCATGGCGTCACCACCACCCATGGCGTCACCTCCAGCCATGGCGTCACCACCAGCCATTGCGTCACCACCAGCCATGGCGTCACCACCAGCCATGGCGACACCACCAGCCATGGCGTCACCACCAGCCATGGCGTCACCTCCAGCCATGGCGTCACCACCAGCCATGGCGTCACCACCAGCCATGGCGTCACCACCAGCCATGGCGTCACCACCAGCCATAACGTCACTACCAGCCATGGCGTCACCACCAGCCATGGCGTCACCACCAGCCATGGCGTCACCTCCAGCCATGGCGTCACCACCAGCCATAACGTCACTACCAGCCATGGCGTCACCACCAGCCATGGCGTCACTACCAGCCATGGCGTCACCTCCAGCCATGGCGTCACCACCAGCCATTGCGTCACCACCAGCCATGGCGTCACCACCAGCCATGGCGTCACGACCAGCCATGGCGTCACCTCCAGCCATGGCGTCACCACCAGCCATGGCGTCACCACCAGCCATGGCGTCACCTCCAGCCATGGCGTCACCACCAGCCATGGCGTCACCACCAGCCATTGCGTCACCACCAGCCATGGCATCACCACCAGGCATGGCGTCACCACCAGCCATGGCGTCACCACCAGCCATGACGTCACCTCCAGCCATGGCGTCACCACCAGCCATGGCGTCACCACCAGCCATGGCGTCACAACCAGCCATGGCGTCACCAGCAGCCATAACGTCACTACCAGCCATGGCGTCACCACCAGCCATGGCGTCACCTCCAGCCATGGCGTCACCACCAGCCATAACGTCACTACAAGCCATGGCGTCACCACCAGCCATGGCGTCACTACCAGCCATGGCGTCACCTCCAGCCATTGCGTCACCACCAGCCATGGCGTCACCACCAGCCATGGCGTCACCACCAGCCATGGCGTCACCTCCAGCCATGGCGTCACCACCTGCCATGGCGTCACCTCCAGCCATGGCGTCACCTCCAGCCATGGCGTCTCCACCAGCCATTGCGTCTCCACCAGCCATTGCGTCACCAACAGCCATGGCGTCTCCACCAGCCATTGCGTCACCACCTGCCATGGCGTCACCACCAGCCATGCTGTCACCCCCAGCCATGGCGTCACCACCAGCCATGGCGTCACCACCAGCCATGGTGTCACCACCAGCCATGGCGTCACCACCAGCAATGGCGTCACCACCAGCCATTGCGTCACCACCAGCCATGGTGTCACCACCAGCAATGGCGTCACCACCAGCCATTGCGTCACCACCAGCCATGGTGTCACCACCAGCAATGGCGTCACCACCAGCAATGGCGTCACCTCCAGCCATGGCGTCACCACCAGCAATGGCGTCACCACCAGCCATGGCGTCACCACCAGCCATGGCGTCACCACCAGCCATGGCGTCACCACCAGCCATGGCGTCACCACCAGCCATGGCGTCACCACCAGCCATGGCGTCACCACCAGCCATGGCGTCACCACCAGCCATAACGTCACTACCAGCCATGGCGTCACCACCAGCCATGGCGTCACCACCAGCAATGGCGTCACCTCCAGCGATGGCGTCACCACCAGACATAACGTCACTACCAGCCATGGCGTCACTACCAGCCATGGCGTCACCTCCAGCCATGGCGTCACCACCAGCCATTGCGTCACCACCAGCCATGGCGTCACCTCCAGCCATGGCGTCACCACCAGCCATTGCGTCACCACCAGCCATGGCGTCACCACCAGCCATGGCGTCACCACCAGCCATGGCGTCACCTCCAGCCATGGCGTCACCACCTGCCATGGCGTCACCTCCAGCCATGGCGTCACCTCCAGCCATGGCGTCTCCACCAGCCATTGCGTCACCAACAGCCATGGCGTCTCCACCAGCCATTGCGTCACCACCTGCCATGGCGTCACCACCAGCCATGCTGTCACCACCAGCATGGCGTCACCACCAGCCATTGCGTCACTACCAGCCATGGTGTCACCACCAGCAATGGCGTCACCACCAGCAATGGCGTCACCTCCAGCCATGGAGTCACCACCAGCAATGACGTCACCACCAGCCATGGCGTCACCACCAGCCATGGCGTCACCACCAGCCATGGCGTCACCACCAGCCATGGCGTCACCTCCAGCCATGGCGTCACCACCAGCCATGGCGTCACCACCAGACATGGCGTCACCACCAGCCATAACGTCACTACCAGCCATGGCGTCACCACCAGCCATGGCGTCACCACCAGCAATGGCGTCACCTCCAGCGATGGCGTCACCACCAGACATAACGTCACTACCAGCCATGGCGTCACTACCAGCCATGGCGTCACCTCCAGCCATGGCGTCACCACCAGCCATTGCGTCACCACCAGCCATGGCGTCACCACCAGCCATGGCGTCACCACCAGCCATGGCGTCACCTCCAGCCATGGCGTCACCACCAGCCATGGCGTCACAACCAGCCATTGCGTCACCACCCGCCATGGCATCCCCACCAGCCATGGCGTCACCACCAGCCATGGCGTCACCACCAGCCATGGCGTCACCACCAGCCATGGCGTCACCACCAGCCATGGCGTCACCACCAGCCATGGTGTCACCACCAGCCATGGCGTCACCACCAGCCATCACGTCACTACCAGCCATGGCGTCACCACCAGCCATGGCGTCACCACCAGCCATGGCGTCACCTCCAGCCATGGCGTCACCACCAGCCATAACGTCACTACCAGCCATGGCGTCACCACCAGCCATGGCGTCACTACCAGCCATGGCGTCACCTCCAGCCATGGCGTCACCACCAGCCATTGCGTCACCACCAGCCATGGCGTCACCACCAGCCATGGCGTCACCACCAGCCATGGCGTCACCTCCAGCCATGGCGTCACCTCCAGCCATGGCGTCTCCACCAGCCATTGCGTCACCACCAGCCATGGTGTCACCACCAGCCATGCTGTCACCACCAGCCATGGCGTCACCACCAGCCATGGCGTCACCACCAGCCATGGCGTCACCTCCAGCCATGGCGTCACCTCCAGCCATGGCGTCTCCTCCAGCCATTGCGTCACCACCAGCCATGGCGTCTCCACCAGCCATTGCGTCACCACCAGCCATGGCGTCACCACCAGCCATGCTGTCACCACCAGCCATGGCGTCACCACCAGCCATGGCGTCACCACCAACCATGGTGTCACCACCAGCCATGGCGTCACCACCAGCAATGGCGTCACCACCAGCCATTGCGTCACCACCAGCCATGGTGTCACCACCAGCAATGGCGTCACCACCAGCAATGGCGTCACCACCAGCAATGGCGTCACCACCAGCAATGGCGTCACCACCAGCCGTTGCGTCACCACCAGCCATGGTGTCACCACCAGCCATGGCGTCACCACCAGCCATTGCGTCACCACCAGCCATGGCGTCACCACCAGCCATGGCGTCACCACCAGCCATGGCGTCACGTCCAGCCATGGCGTCACCACCAGCCATGGCGTCACCACCAACCATAGCATCACATCCAGCCATGGCGTCACCACCAGCCATGGCGTCACCACCAGCCATTGCGTCACCACCAGCCATGGCATCACCACCAGCCATGGCGTCACCACCAGCCATGGCGTCACCACCAGCCATAGCGTCACCTCCAGCCATGGCGTCACCACCAGCCATGGCGTCACCACTAGCCATGGCGTCACCACCAGCCATGGCGTCACCACCAGCCATAACGTCACTACCAGCCATGGCGTCACCACCAGCCATGGCGTCACCACCAGCCATGGCGTCACCTCCAGCCATGGCGTCACCACCAGCAATAACGTCACTACCAGCCATGGCGTCACCTCCAGCCATGGCGTCACCACCAGCCATGGCGTCACCTCCAGCCATGGCGTCACCACCAGCCATAACGTCACTACCAGCCATGGCGTCACCACCAGCCATGGCGTCACTACCAGCCATGGCGTCACCTCCAGCCATGGCGTCACCACCAGCCATTGCGTCACCACCAGCCAAGGCGTCACCACCAGCCATGGCGTCACCACCAGCCATGGCGTCACCTCCAGCCATGGCGTCACCTCCAGCCATGGCGTCTCCACCAGCCATGGCGTCACCACCAGCCATGCTGTCACCACCAGCCATGGCCTCACCACCAGCCATGGCCTCACCACCAGCCATGGCGTCACCACCAGCCATGGCGTCACCACCAGCCATGGCGTCACCACCAGCCATGGCGTCACCTCCAGCCATGGCGTCACCTCCAGCCATGGCGTCTCCACCAATCATTGCGTCACCACCAGCCATGGCGTCACCTCCTGCCATGCTGTCACCACCAGCCATGGCGTCACCACCAGCTATGGCGTCACCACCAGCCATGGCGTCACCTCCAGCCATGGCGTCACCTCCAGCCATGGCGTCTCCACCAGCCATTGCGTCACCACCAGCCATGGCGTCTCCACCAGCCATTGCGTCACCACCAGCCATGGCGTCACCACCAGCCATGCTGTCACCACCAGCCATGGCGTCACCACCAGCCATGCTGTCACCACCAGCCATGGCGTCACCACCAGCCATGGCGTCACCACCAGCCATGGCGTCACCTCCAGCCATGGCGTCACCACCAGCCATGGCGTCACCACCAGCCATGGCGTTACCTCCAGCCATGGCGTCACCTCCAGCCATGGCGTCTCCTTCAGCCATTGCGTCACCACCAGCCATGGCGTCTCCACCAGCCATTGCGTCACCACCAGCCATGGCGTCACCACCAGCCATGCTGTCACCACCAGCCATGGCGTCACCACCAGCCATGGCGTCACCACCAACCATGGTGTCACCACCAGCCATGGCGTCACCACCAGCCATGGCGTCACCACCAGCCATGGCGTCACCACCAGCCATAACGTCACTACCAGCCATGGCGTCACCACCAGCCATGGCGTCACCACCAGCCATGGCGTCACCTCCAGCCATGGCGTCACCACCAGCAATAACGTCACTACCAGCCACGGCGTCACCTCCAGCCATGGCGTCACCACCAGCCATTGCGTCACCACCAGCTATGGCGTCACCACCAGCCATGGCGTCACCACCAGCCATGGTGTCACCACCAGCCATGGCGTCACCACCAGCCATAACGTCACTACCAGCCATGGCGTCACCACCAGCCATGGCGTCACCACCAGCCATGGCGTCACCTCCAGCCATGGCGTCACCACCAGCCATAACGTCACTACCAGCCATGGCGTCACCACCAGCCATGGCGTCACTACCAGCCTTGGCGTCACCTCCAGCCATGGCGTCACCACCAGCCATTGCGTCACCACCAGCCATGGCGTCACCACCAGCCATGGCGTCACCACCAGCCATGGCGTCACCTCCAGCCATGGCGTCACCTCCAGCCATTGCGTCTCCACCAGCCATTGCGTCACCACCAGCCATGGCGTCACCACCAGCCATGCTGTCACCACCAGCCATGGCGTCACCACCAGCCATGGCGTCACCACCAGCCATGGCGTCACCTCCAGCCATGGCGTCACCTCCAGCCATGGCGTCTCCACCAGCCATTGCGTCACCACCAGCCATGGCGTCTCCACCAGCCATGGCGTCACCACCAGCCATGCTGTCACCACCAGCCATGGCGTCACCACCAGCCATGGCGTCACCACCAACCATGGTGTCACCACCAGCCATGGCTTCACCACCAGCCATGGCGTCACCTCCAGCCATGGCGTCACCACCAGCCATGGCGTCACCACCAGCCATGGCGTCACCTCCAGCCATGGCGTCACCTCCAGCCATAGCGTCACCTCCAGCCATGGCGTCTCCACCAACCATTGCGTCACCACCAGCCATGGCGTCACCTCCAGCCATGCTGTCACCACCAGCCATGGCGTCACCACCAGCCATGGCGTCACCACCAGCCATGGCGTCACCTCCAGCCATGGCGTCACCTCCAGCCATGGCGTCTCCACCAGCCATTGCGTCACCACCAGCCATGGCGTCTCCACCAGCCATTGCGTCACCACCAGCCATGGTGTCACCACCAGCCATGCTGTCACCACCAGCCATGGCGTCACCACCAGCCATGGCGTCACCACCAACCATGGTGTCACCACCAGCCATGGCGTCACCACCAGCCATGGCGTCACCACCAGCCATGGCGTCACCTCCAGTCATGGTGTCACCACCAGCCATGGCGTCACCACCAGCCATGGCGTCACCTCCAGCCATGGCGTCACCTCCAGCCATGGCGTCACCACCAGCCATTGCGTCACCACCAGCCATGGCATCACCACCAGCCATGGCGTCACCACCAGCCATGGCGTCACCACAAGCCATGGCGTCACCTCCAGCCATGGCGTCACCACCAGCCATGGCGTCACCACCAGCCATGGCGTCACCACCAGCCATGGCGTCACCACCAGCCATGGCGTCACCTCCAGCCATAGTAGTAGGGAGGAAGAGCCACAGGCCCTTTTTTTTTTTTGGGAGAGGACCCCTGTGGACTGTACAGTCCACAGGCCCTTTTTTTTCTGGGGGAAAAAAAGGGCCTGTGGCATGTCATGGTTTTCAGGTGAATTTGGGGAGTCACAGATTTGGAAGTAAGGAATTCTTATGAGAAAAATAATTTCCGAGATCTTAGAAGTTTGTTAATCATTCTTATGATGAAAATAAGTAGGAAAATCTTAAAGAAAGTTTTAGAAAAAATCGTGTTTGTGTCACAGCATTTCCAGGTAAACTCTATGGACAACCTTTGCCCGTTTTCAATCACACATTTGTAAAAGGACCATTTTCAGAGAATATTGTCTTAGATGTTTTGTTAAGGAAAACAGACAACTTAGCCATAACATTTAGTTTTATATCCATTACGGCTATTTCACCTGTAAAGACCAAAATTAGTCAGAGACAGTTTTAAGCTGAAATTTCATCAGAGTCCTGTAATCTGCGAAAATTTGACAGAGTCCATTTTATACCCAATTTTCGCCAGAGTCTAGTTTGAGAGCAAAATTCGTCAGAGACAGTTTTAAGCTCATATTTCATCAGAGTCCAATTATCAACAGAAATTCGCCAGAGTCTACTTTGAGAGCAAAATTCGTCAGAGACAGTTTTAAGCTCATATTTCATCAGAGTCCAATTATCAACAGAAATTCGCCAGAGTCTACTTGAGAGCAAATTTCATCAGTGTCCTGTAATCTGTGAAAACTTGACAGAGTCCATTTTATACCCAATTTTCGTCAGAGTCCAGTCTATGCTCAAATTCGCCAGAGTCTACTTTAATAGCAAAATTCATCAGAGTCCAGTTTTCTAGCAAAATTCATCAGAGTCCAGTCTATGCTCAAATTCGCCAGAGTCTACTTTAATAGCAAAATTCATCAGAGTCCAGTTTTCTAGCAAAATTCATCAGAGCCCAGTTTATACCGAAAATTCGCCAGAGTCTACTTT